AATATTATATTCCTTCGGTAAGCTCCTGAATCAATGGCATCATTATGTCAAATTTCAACTAGCGCGGTTGATTATGTGTCAACCCCTGACACACAGAACCTAAATCTTTGATTGGCACACTGAGATTTCTTTGTCTAGTCCAGGATCTCTGCCTACTAGAGCGAGAAAGGTAAGCGCACATGAATATAAAAAGCTTATCCTTTTATAATAGAATGGGTATGTGCTATAAAGGAACCTATATATTTTATAACATGGGTAGGCCTTTATTTATCAACGAAATTATATATCATATATATATATATATATATATATATATATATATATATATATATATATATATATATATATATATATATATATATATATATATATATATATATATATATATATATATTGTAGGATCACATGGTCGAAATATAATTACTTCATCTGTAATTATAACGTTCTGTCGCAAATCTACCGCAAAGATCAAAGAAAATATAAAATTAACCTTTGCCAGACAGGTAAATAAATGAATTCTATTATAGATTTCCTTGTCACAGTAACTCAAAGTTATTTATTAACTGTCCAGGCATAGTATTTGATAAAGCAAAAACAATAGTGATAAATCAATCAATTGAAGTTGTACATTAGACTGCGTATTTGTTTGATATTTATGACACAATAAAGTTTTCTGAAACCTCGATAAAACTTATTATTATCCAGATCTAATATAGCTAGAGTTTCTTAATACTCATTCTCAATGTGTGTGTGTGTGTGTGTGTGTAGAGGTGGGGGTTGGGCAGAACTAACGTCTCTGAGGGGGACACGGACACTGAGTAAACTTTTTTTCAATAATTTATGTATTTTTTTTTCTATTTCGTTCGGCGAACAAAGACGATGAACGTGTTCCAGGACACGCGGATCACACATGAGTTGTGTTAGCACCTGAGTAAACCCGCACAAACAAGTATTTGGATCACTGACCTTGACCTGCTTACCCACACAACCATGACCAGACAGCCTTATAACCTAGATTTAATTTCTTTTGTTGTTTACCTCACATTTTGTCGGTTACCAAAAGAGATAAATTCAACTCATTTTTAATTCACACTTATCCATTAGGTAACCTTAATTTTTATTACAAGCTTTTACCACGTGCACATCGTCAGTTTTTTAGTGTGTTGTGGCAAATCTTGTAACTCAGTTTCAACTCACATCTAATGTAGCGATATACGTTCTTCTTCGGTGACAATGCAATAATACCTACTTTTAATTTAATTAGATGTTAAATTTGTCATTAAAAATTAATTAAACAGTTTTGAAACTAATGGGAGAAAACAGGAGTAACTACTAGTGATCGTTCGATCAGCTAACCGTCGAGGGTGAAGTGTTTGTCACGGTTGGCTGATTTTTTTTTGCCTGAAGTTAACTGTCTTTTAGAGATCACAAGCTACTTGACGGGATACGCAAAATACCACCCCAATTATTTTCATTTGTGTGTAAAACACGTAGTTGACGTATTTATAATTTATTTAAAAGCAAACAAAACAGAATAAAAGAGTGAGAAATAAACTGATTTTATATTTATTTTTATTGTTTATTTACTCTGGGGTGAAGCCGATTTGAGTTTACAAAAGATGATGGCGGAGGTGGAGCAGATCTGACATAGAGTTGTTCTTCGTTCTCACACTCATAGTGTTACTGCTAAACTTACTTGTTACAATGTGTTCACATACTCATAGTGTTACTGCTAAACGTACTTGTTACAATGCGAATGCAATATTTGACCCTAATCATAAAAACAAGTTAATAAACGTCACTAGAGTTAATTTAGTCAAATGCTATTGTATATTTTGTTTCACATTGGCTAAATTTTCATCATCGCTAATCTTTTTATAGGTTTTCGCCTTTGTGGTCAAGCTTTCCTTAAGTTCACCTGCGGAAAGGACAATTTAAAAAACAAATTGAACAAGGTTTCTCGTATTTCACATTTCTTAACTAGTATTTAAAATCAAAATACCGATAGCTCGACGTCTCGTGTAAAATAAAAATACGTATGTCGGGCACCCATATGTCAAGGTTCTTAAAAGGAAAATTCTGGTAACAGGAAGTAAGTTATATTTATGGTATGTACGGTTTCATTATTCAATAGACGTCAAGTTTTAACTGGTTTCTGACTGGGAGATCCGGGTTTTTCGTTCACCTTGGAGGCCGCATGCTAAATAAGACACGAAAACATGGTTGGACACAATGGCGTCAACTGGTCGGGTAAAACCCATGTGCCGTATCTCAGGGTGTCAAGCGTAGGCCATTCAGGGGGCCCCAAAATCCGACACAATTTTTTATGCACCTTGATAAATTAGTGGTTTTGTGAAAAACAAACAGCGTTTCTTCTATAGTCGCTAGCATACACTGTTGCGAAATTTTTTTTTTACATGGGCTGTAATGTGATAAATAGGCAAACCTTCAAACAACTTTCAGCGTTTAATAGGGGTGCCAATAAAGCTCAATTAAATAATTTTGTACTAAGCGAATTGAAAAGCAATTTGTTCTCTTAAGGGGGTAGGCTCCGGTAAAAAAAACTTTTTTTTAATACTCGTTATAAAACAGTTCTTTCTTTACAGCTTTTTATTAAGATATATCCGCATATCCATTTCCACTACAAAATTGGTAGAAAAATCTTGGTAACCATGACAACGGCGGCCCTTTTGAAAAATTAAACCCTTCGTAGGTTTTCCACCAATCATAAAATATTATATTTTAAGCCCGATAAACAATGAATTCATAATCTTCTTCCATATTTTGGGGTACTCAGCTAAAATTTTAAATGCATAGCTTCAAACTAATTTTTTTATGAATTTTCAACATTCCCCAAAATTGTGAACAATCAAACCAAAGATATCAGCTCTATTAATGGTTTCTGGTTCTGTTATCTGACGTACCTACAATATTGTAAAACTGAAATATATTATAAAAAAATAAATACAGACTATTGTAATCCAATAGCTTAAACCTTTCTATATATCAAACATAATTTGATATGTTACGTGAATCTTTGACATGGAAAGAAATTTGAATATATAATGTATTAAGCGATGTGACACTATTCAAATAAATATTCAATAATCAACACTTTTGAAGTTTCAATTAACTCATATTTAACGTCTTTTCAGCAACATAAAACAAATTGTCATCTACAACTGTGCTGAGCAAATCAACAAGCGATGGTACAACTAGCGTTAGCAAAACTAAATAAAGCTAAGGTTTGTGTTTAGCTGTGCAGTGCATGGTCGCATCTGGTAAGAAAACAATGATAAGACAGAAAGTCATAGTTCTAGTCAAAGGTAAATTTTCAACTGGCACTTTTTTGTCCTTCGTTTAATGTCTCGATAAGTAATGAAAGCTTTCACGGGAAGTTGAAATTTCTAAGTGGGCTTTTACATCAGTCAAAGCTAAACCAGTTACAGTTTTAAAACAAGAATCATTGAAATTCGTTAATTTTCGCTCACACAAAATGTTTACTAAACACATACGACAAAATATTGTTAACTTACGACTATTAATCACTAGGCATGCTGCCTAGCTTCGCTTAGGCTTTCGAAAACATTGAGAATTTGAATGCTTAATTAATTCGCCCGAGGGTCGGTCTACGACCTCAAGAGTTATGAAGAGGTTCCTCCGTGGACATTTTTTTTCGATTTATAGCTCATATAAGGCGGCGGTCAGTCGAGGTCAGTTTTGACCCCCTCATCGTAGACTTTTCGGCCAACCGGCACCGGCCCCCGTGTTCTGTCGCCCCAAGGCAAGATCCTGCCAAATTTGAAGCGCCTCCGGCGCCGGGAAGTGCCCTATCGGACACCCGACAACTTTGCTTTATATATTATAGAGATTAGCAAATTGCATAGATAAACAAAGATTTCAATAAAGTAATTAAGGCCTGAAATACTTTAGTATAGAAATGTATTGTTGAATAGATTCTAGATCTAGGTAGGGTCTACATCTGTGTAAGTCTAGTTTTTCTAGATCTAGAATCCGAATAGAATTTGTTTTTTAAATTTAGCCCGAGCAAAATTAAAAAAAAATAGATTAACCAAGTTGACTTGGTGCGTCACGAACCCGCACCACCTGCGTGGGTTTAAGTACACTATCATCTCCGCTATATAAGCACCTTATAAAACTCGGAGAATGAAAGACGTATTTTAAAATCTCAACTTACGCGAATATGCCTATTCTTTCAAATTAATTTTTTTTATCCCAAATTAGCCAGTTTCAAACAAAGATTTTGTATAAAATAATTATGTCTTGAAATAGTTAAGTCCTAATATAGAAATTTATTTTTGGAATAGATTCTAGAGAAGTTAGAGTCTAAATCTAGATCTTAGCGTCTACGTCTCGATCTAGTTATTGCGTAGATTTGTAGATTTAGATTTACATCTAGTCTAGATCTAGAATCTCTAGATCTAGAATCCAAATAAATAAAACAAATGTTATGAGTTTAGGCCGGAAAAATTGTATTGTGTACATTTTATAGTGTTCGTAGATCTAAATCAAATTTGAATGAAATAGTTCATTACTTTTTATTCTAAACACGGCAGATGACGTCATTAGTTAATGTATAAACATTAGTGACGTCACAGTTTTATGCGTTCTTTTTCACATCTATAAATGCTTTTCCGGTTCCATAAATAATACTGTTTCTCTACATTCGAACACGCCTTTATTTTTTATTTTTCTTCTTTAAATAAAATTGTGGTTATACATTTAAAACATCTAACATATTATTTTCAACAAAAGTCCGTATAAAGGTATCCATATATCGCTACCGATTCCGACGTAATGTCCGGCGAAAATATTTTGCGGACAGACAGAGAGAGAGAGAGAGAGAAGTGCGAACGTGGCCAATTATAGTATTAGATATGAGAGCAAGCGGCACTCATTTAAAAATATATGTTCAAAATATAAATTATGATTTATTTATAATTATACAAGTTTGATAAAAAACACTTTATAATCCAGTGGGACTGCTTGCTACCAATCTCACATCAACAATCTATAAAAATTCTTTCATACAAAAACTCATCCATATTTGGTGTCATCTGCCAAAATGGAACTTCAAGGATATTATCTTCACCAATCGCGTTAATTAAATCCACATTGAGCTGTACATTTCTTTCATAAAGTAGAAGCACCTTTCCCGGGTTGTAATGTGACATACTGTTCAACACCAGGGTGTAGAGCATCTGGAAATTATTGTCGTGAAAAAACTCAACAGTTACAACTAGAATTACACGCCAGGTGGCGTTGATCTCAGCACACACATCTTCATATTCTGGACGTCCTGGCTCAAGATCTCTGGAGTCTCGAGTGTTCAGAAAAAAAGTTTGTTTTAAGTAGTTGCTTAAAACTGTAACAAAACCTTCATTGGGAGATGAAACTATAAATACGTGGTTTTGAAAATCTGTTAATCTCCTACGTGGTACAGTGCCAAGTATTTGAGCAATATAAGCCACAATGTACAGCTTACATCGCATGACGACAAAAGACACCAAAAATATTATAGCGATGACACACAAAATAACTCCAGAGATATAAAGATATTGCTGACCCACACACTGACGCCAAAATGTACCAACATTCCAATGTTTATCTAGATGAGAATACAAACCAAATTCGTTAACACACAACAAATTGGAATCAAAATCTATATCTACGTTTGTTGTAAGAATCCATTTGATGAAATAGAAATTCTCACAACCACACGATAAAATGTTTCCTGCTAATTTTAAACTGAATTTTCCATTTTTTTTGGCCAATTCATCAAGTCCAAATGTTATGTCTTTATCCAATGTCGAAATAGCATTTTCACTAAGGTCAAGTACCCGCAAGTTTGGTGTCAGCTTAAGGTTGAAAGGAATTTCAGTAAACCTATTGGTTGCCAGATAAAGTTCTGTCATTTGATGGTTAGTAGAAAACGTATTGTGTGCTAGAAAACTTAAAGAATTTAAAGATAAATCTAGACGCTTCAGCAACTTTAAATTCGTTAAAAGTCTTAAGCTGTTAGATTGAAAACTATTTAAGTCAAATCTGCAGTTTGCCATAGCTAAAATTTCGACAGTTGTGAATGGATCTAAAAATGATGGAGAAAGTACCGAGAAATCGTTTCCTGAAAATAATAAAGTTTTAATTCCTGTTAAACCTTCAATTCTACCTGTAGCGAATTTAAATCCATTGTCAGTGCCATCAATATACTCAACATTTTGAAAACCAACTAAAGATATATTACTATTCAACCAAGAGCTTTGTATTGACTTGCCTACATGTACATATTTCAATGATCTGGATCCATAAAATATAATTCCTTTTACTTTCGTATTGTTTTTACTCTTGACAATCCTTTTATGACTATTAATAACTTGATTTTGATGTAATTTTAACTTACGCAAACTTTTCTTTTCAGACATATAGTTTTCAGATGTTTTTAGCTTATTTGGTGTTGTAGGTCCGAATAAATTACCATCGATATAAACATTTTCTAAGCTTCTTAAAGTGAATAGTTTAATAAAAGCTAAATTACTACCAATCCACCTATTTTCTGATAAGCTCAAATATTCTAGACACGATTTCCAGGTTTCACTAATTAAAGCATTATGATCCAGAATAAATAAAAAAGAGTGAATGAACTCAAATCTGCCGACACAAATCTGTATAAGATACTTTGTTTTATCTAAATCAAGAACATCTTCTTGCATTGAATTACTGGAAACTCCGGCAGGGGAATCTAAAATTACTCTTACAAATTTGATCAAAGTCATGTTTCTTCCTACCAGTGGTTTGAGGATATGTAAGGCTTCTTTTTTTCGTAAATTTTCAGACATGAGCGTAAAGCTATCTAACGAAGGTAAATATGCTAGGGCCATGTTGCTAAAATTAGACAAGGTATTGAAGCCATCTATTATTAAGTCCGTTAAATGATTTAAATTTTTAAACGTGCTTTCAGAAATAGAATTAGAACAAACGCTTAGAAAAATGTTTGTGAGTTTACCTAGTTGTTTGAACTCTGGCCCAAAGTTGACCGTTTCTCCTACACTGTCTATAGACAGAGTGGTCAGATTTGTTAATGGACAAAGAAAACATGAGGGGTATTCACTCTTGATGCAATCTTGATCTCGTTTCAGATATAGTTCCTTTAAATTAATGAGTGGAGAAAATATGCCGTCAGGATAGCTATTGTTATCAAACTCCAGAGCATTAAACTCTAGGTTTAGGACATCAAGATTCGTAAGGCCAGAAAATGCATTTGTATGCATCTTGTATATTTTATTATTACTCAATTTTAACAAACGTAACTGTGTTAAATTTTTAAATGTGTTGTTTTCTATTTCAGTCAAAAGATTGTAATCCAAGAAAATAACGGTTGTATTTAGAGGAAACCAACTTGAATTAACACGATCCAATGAAAGACCTGTACAGTTTATGATGACGTCAGTTAGATCTATATTATTTGTCTGCTGACAGGGTGTGTTCGTCAACTTGAACGTAAGATCTGTTCTGTTTTTGTACGTCTGAAACTGTCCGATACTTTCTGCTTGTTGCTCTCGTACACAGAAGAGACAGAATAGTATCAATTTTGCAACAATTTTGTTCATTGTTGTGGCTTATTGCTGTCTAGAAGTCTGTTTGAATAAAAAAAAAGGAATTTTATTTTAATAATACCAATCGCGTTGGCTGCGCGGTGAGATGGTTTTATTAAGAGGATAAAGAAAATTATAACTTTAAGTTACATTTTATATATATATATATATATATATATATATATATATATATATATATATATATATATATGTATGTATATATATATATATATATATGTATGTATATATATATATATATATATATATATATATATATATATATATATATATATATATATATATATATATATATATATATATATATATATACTCAGGAAGAAAAACAGGCTGAAATGGTAAGGCGCAAAACTTGTTGAGATTCTGGAGGAAGTCTCGTTCCACACTACAGTTACGATGTGTAATATGACGTCAGATACAAAATTACCGGTACAGTGTTATAGTAAATATCTACCCTACATAAATTAACACATAAAAGCTTACACGGCGTCTTCACAAATAGAATTACTTTTTTTTAAATTAACGAGCGTTAAAGTAAAATCTCACCTGTAGCATACAAAATGTCTAGTAGCAATCACACTTACATTTCGTGACTTTTCCTCTGTATGCAGGAGTAGCATCAAAATAATCGGTCCCCTGAAATTCTAATAGCGATAAGGATTTATTTAGAGTTTCACGTTCTTGTCTCCTTAGTTGATTAATACAGATTGATACAGGAAGGCCAACTACCTAGAAAGTAGTATTGAACATATTGAAGAAATGACGCGTTAACTAGCTGCCCCGAGTAGGCGTAGCTCTAGCTGTACTCTTTAGAACAGTTTGGCAACATGTCGTAACTGATCTATAACCACCTTCACCTAGCCAAGCTACTCTGAGGTATTCATTCAGCGCATTGAAATGTAAAAGCGTAAAGTCGATTCTCGATTCTCCCAGATTAACAACATTTCTTGTTTTGATTTACTTTGTGTAATACCGCCCCCACAACCGCACCGATTTAACTCGATATTGTTGAGTGAATAAAAAAAAAGTTTTTGTTCTAAGCCACTGAATAAAATAAAATATATAACAAAATGCAACCTTTCGTTAAAACAATGGGGGGGGGGGGGGAGGTAAGAGGTTGAAGGTTTTAGAAATTCTAATATTTAATATCCTCAGATTTCTAGATATTTATGTATATTTAAAACCTCCACCTCTCCTTCAGTATATATATATATATATATATATATATATATATATATATATATATATATATATATATATGTATGTGTGTGTCAGTGTGTGTGTGTGTGTTTTAAGCATTACTACACCTTTTATCAAATCGCCATGAAACTTTAGAAAGTTGTTGAGAATAATCCTGGGGAGGTTCCTTCGAAAAAAAAAAAATTCAAGCTCGCAGGGATGGCGCCTAAGCAAGGCACGATTTGATTCCTCTTTTTACGATATATAAAAAAAATAAAAGTCGTTTGCAGTTTTATTCCGTTCATCAAATCGCCATAAATCTATGTGGGAGTTGATTAGAACGCTACAGGAAAGGGTTATATAAAAAGCCTTTTTTAATTTTGCAAGGGTAGTGCTCCGGGAGGGTGCAATTTTTCTCGATATACGGTATAAAAAAAATAAAAGTAGGATGCGGTTCGGCAATGAAACTTTGGTAAGTTGTTGAGAATACTCTTGGGAAGATATCTGCGAAAATAAAATTCAAATTCGCAAGGAGGGCACCACCGATGGGCAAAGTTTGTTTTTCTCTAAATACGGTATATAAAAATCAAAGTCGATTGCAGTTTGACACCGTTCATCCGATCGCCATTACACTTTGGGAATTTGATTCAAACACTTTAGGAAAGGGTTTTGCAAATTTTTTTTTTTTAAATTAAGTATGGGCGTCGCCCGCGAGGGTATGTTTTTCGTCATCACACAATACACAAATACAGAGCTTCAGAGTTTCAAAGTTTTCAAAAAAACTTCAATTTATAACTTGGAAACCGTTAATAGTGCGTCCTGCTTAGCGGGTAAGGGGTACTACTATATTCCGCGTTAAAACTTCAACAAGCGCAACATGCGAGCACTAAGGCGCCTACGTTTGTTTAAAAAAAGGCTTTACACTAAAGACACGATGGGCAACAATAATCTTTGACTATATTGAACAGGCATGTCCCCCGGCGCCCCTGCAGGGTTCGATTTGGCGCCCTGGGCTTTCCCGTGAGCGTAATGGCGCCTACGTTCGTTTTAAACAGTGCGATTGACAATGGATAAGATGTGGTGTTACAGTCGCTCACTAAATTGAAACAGGCGTGTCCTCTGGCGCCCTGGTAGGGTGCGATTCGGCTGCGAAAAAAAATTCACTTTCGGCCCCCAAAGGCTCGTATTTTTCTTTATAATAGTGTACATGATAATATCAAAGGCTGGTATTAATTGTAATGAAACTTCTTAACATTACGTTGAAGATGCCATGGAAACACAAAAATAATCCAGTTACCACCGTATTAGCAAAAATGTAATCAACTACACATTAAATTCGTTATGTAACCTTGCTTGCATCTCTATGCAATTTATTGTCTTCTTATTAAGTAGAACTCTATTGATCCAATAAGAAACCCAAAATGTCATCCTATAAGAAAATATAATTATGAACTCTATTTTTATTACAAAAATAATAAAAGAGAATGAACTGGTTTAATAAAGCCGACTTGAAATTACGAAGATGCTGGTTGGGTAGTAAGGTGGAGGAGATTGGAGTTTTACTTCGTTCACATACTATTTACAGCGCAACTGTTAAACTTTTCATTTACAATTGATTTACATGACTTTTTCCCGCTTAAACATGATGGCACGTAAATAAACTTTAGTGGATTTAAGTGAACTTAAATGCTACTGTACATTTGGTAAGCTAAATTTTCTTCATCGTTAATCTCTTCACTTATCTTTGCCCTTACCTCCACTCTTTCCACTCTTTGACCTGCAGGTAGTTTAACAGAAATCTATCCAAGGTCTCTCAAATCTCAACAACAACAAAATAATCGTTCGACATCAAGTACATATAAAATTCCTAATGTCGAGCACTCGTATGTCGAGATTCATAGAGGAAAAATGTTGTGTTACCAGGAAGTAATTTATACTTGTGATCAATACAGTTTCATGGTTCAATAGACGTCAAGACTTAACTGCTTTCCGAGTGGGCGATCCCGGGTTTCTTTTAAAATTCCACGTGTAGGCCTTGTAGTAAATTAACAACGAAAACATGGTCGAGTAGCATCCATGTGCCGTAACTCATGTGCCAGCTCAAACAGAAAAAACTTTAGAATTAATGTAATTAATGTTTTGATAGTTAAGTGAGCATGTTTCGTCACTTTACTATCTTAAAGATGTTGTCTGTAAAGTTTGTTCAATTAATTTACACAGAGCAGGTTTACTTTTTCTTCTGTTTTCTCCTTACTCCTTGAGGCTTCACGAGTACCGTAAGCAGTATTTCTTTCAGACAAGGAAAGGGAGATGGGGAAGGGTGGACTGAATTTTCCGCGAGGGGGGGGGGGGGCGTGGTCTGCAAGTGTAGACGTCTTATGCACCGAGCGTAAAGGCTTGCATAAATGTGAAGTGTGTTTTATAGCTGAGTGACATGTAGTTTAACTGAGAAATCAACAAGGAAACTCTACTCGGCCTTACGCTCATAGTTTATCTTAGACACAGATCCCCCCTCTCCCCCACGGAAGACCGCCTACCCCCCCCCCCCCCCACCCCAAAAACGAAATATAATTTTACGTAGAAAGTATATACTTCTACCAGTAAAAAAAACAAACAAACAAAAAGTGGTGTGACAAGTATACTACACCAAGAAGAGAGTAAATAAATAATCCTAATATATAAAAGCCCATGTGCGCACTTCTCTCTCTCACTCTCTATGTCCGCAAAATATTTTCGCCGGATATCACATCAGAATCGGCAGCGATATATCGAGAACTTGATACAGACTTTTGTTGAACATAATATGTTAGATGTTTTAAATGTATAACCACAATTTTATTTAAAGAAGAAAAATAAAAAAATAAAGGCGTATTCGAATGCAGAAAAACAATTTTAATTATGCAACCGGAAAATTGTTTATACTTGGGACAAAACGCATTTAACAATGACGTCGCTTATTGTTTACACTAAAAGAGCACGAAACTAATGACGTCATCTGCCGAGTTTAGAATAAATGATTTAAACTATATCATTCAAATATGATTTAGAGCTACGTACGCTATGAAATTTATACAATAGATTTTCTCGGCCTAAACTTATAAAATTTACTTCATCTATTAGGATTCTAGATCTAGATAATATCTAGATCTAGAATATTATTCTAGATCTAGGCTAGATCTACCCAAAAAAAACTAGACGTAGACGCTAAGATCTAGATTCTAGATCTAAATCTAGATTCTAGATTTAGACTCTATCTACTCTAGAATCTATTTGATGAATACATTTCTATATTAAACTATTTCATGCCTTAATTATTTTATACACATATTTGTTTGTTTAGCTATGGAACTAGCTAATTTGGGATAAAAAAAATTATTTGAAAGAATAGGCCTATTCGCGTAAGTTAAGTTACTTAACTAATCTACGTCTTTGATTCTTCATGTCTCATAAGGCGCCTAAATAGCTGAGATGATAGTGTGATTGATTTTGGAATATAAAGAAAGGAACTATTTCATTTAAATTTGATTTAGATATAGTTCTATTGATATACTTATTAAGTCGTACGCTATGAAATATATACACTTTAATCGGTCAAACTAATACACATTACTTAGATTTTTAACAGAATCATTTAGTTCTCTTAAACAGTGTGTGCATTTAATATGGTGTTCTGTTGACTAATAATGCATATAATTTGGTTTTAATTTTTCGAATACGTATTGGTAGTCTATGTTATTTTAAATGTGCCGGATTTTTAGATATTTAGTTATTTCTTTGTTTTGTCACTAATATCTCAACGTGTTGTGTTGCATTTTGATCAATAACTATTTTATAATTTATTATTTCCAAATATGTATAACATAAAAAATATATAGGCCTACAATTCACACGAAACGGGTACCGATGGCTAGTGCATTTATAAACCCCTTTGTACATAAATCCAAGACAATCAAGCGAGAAAAAAAAAACAATTCTGAGGTTTAAATTACAATTTACACATCAGACTCCCGATCTAAAATTTCTTGACAAAAAATCAGCTAGAAGATTATCCCTCCCTGGGATGTGTTCTATAGCAAATTTATATTCCTGTAGCAGTAAGGACCAGCGTGTCAGTCTTGCATTATTGAACCTACATTTATGAAGGAATTTTAGAGCACGCTGGTCCGTCTGCAGTACGAAACTAGCGTTGTATAAATACAGCGTTAGTTTGCCTGTGGCCCAGACTATTGCTAGGCACTCTCTTTCTATAGTAGAGTACCGAGTCTCTCTCGGTTGGAGTTTTCTACTGATGTATTTTACTGGTCTCAGGACCCCATTTCTCATTTGCACCAAGGCTGCCCCAATACCTCATGACGAGGCGTCGGTCCTGAGGATAAATTGCTCACTAATGTTAGGTAAAAAAAGAAATGGTTCTGAGTTCAAGTGTTTCTGGACCAGTCTTAAAGCACGGTTACATTCATCCGACCACACGACCTTTTCGGGTTTACCCTTCGCTAGCAAATCTGTCAGTATTGCGTTGGCTCCACTACGTGCCCTAGGAAATTATTTTTTTCAAATCCTAGCTCTAAATTGGCAGGTCTTACTGTCAGGCCAGCGTCCTTCA